CAAGGTATAGATTTATAAAAATGGGTTAATTTAAGATAAAAGAACAGTTAGCAAGAAGCCTGCCACGGCCATACAGTTTATAAGTGAAAAAAAAAAAAAAAGAATTTTTCTACTCACTCCTCATGCTATCCACAGACTCCTTCCTCCCTCCTCCCACCCCCAAGCCCTCTTTCCCATGCCACCCCATATCCCCACATGCCCCAAATCAAGGTCTCCCATGGGGAGTCAGCAGAGTCCAGCACACTGAGCCTAGGCAGGTCCAAGTCCCTTCCTACTGCACTAAGGCTGTGCAAGGTGTCACACCACAGGCACCGGATTCAAGAAGCCTGCCCATAGATGAGGGACAGATCCCGATACCCTTGCCTGGGTGCCCCCCCAAACAGTTTGAGTCAAACAACCGTCTTCCGTGTCCAGAAGGCCTAGTCCAGTCCCATGGGGGCTCCACAAGCACCAGTCCACAGTTCATGGGCTTCCACTAGTGTGGCCAGTCATCTCTGCATGTCCTCCCATCATGATCTTGACGTCTCTCACTTGCAGTATCTCTCCTCTCTCTCATCAATTGGATTCCCAGATAAGCCTGGTGCCTGGCCGTGGATCTCTGTATCTGCCTCCATCTGTCACTGGACAAAGGCTCTATGATGACAGCTAGGTTATTTGCTAGGCTGGTCACCAGAGTTGACCAGTCCAGGTACCCTCTGGACCACTGCCCGCAGACAGGGGGAGTCAACCTTGTGGATTCCTGAGAGCCTCCCCAGCACCCTGCCTCTTCCTATTCCCATGATGCCCTCATCTATCATGGTATCTTCCTCCCTACCATCCCACTCTGTCCCTGTTCCAGCTTCATCCTCCCATTTCCCTATGTTCTCACCCCCCACTCTTCACCCTCTGCCACCCCCCACACACACACCCAGTCCACTCATGTAGACCTCATCCACTTCTCCTTCACAGGGTCATCCATGTGTCCCTCCTAGGGTCTTTTCTTGTTAGAAAGCCTCTCTGGAATTCTGGGTTGCAGTCTGGCCATTCCTTCCCTCCCATTTAGTATACACTTATGAGTGAGTACATACCATGTTTGTCCTTCTGAGTCTGGGTTACTTCACTCAAGATGATATTGTCTAGATCCATCCATTTGCCTGCAAATTTCATGATATCATTTTTTTTTTTTACTGCTGGGTAGTACTCCACTGTGTATATCTGCCTTATTTGCTTTATCCAATCTTCATTTGAGGGGCATCTAGGTTGTTTCCAGGATCTTGCTATTAGGAATAATGCTGGTATGAACATAGTTGAGCATGTGTCCTTGTGGTGAGATTGAACATTCCATGGGTATATGCCCAAGAGTGGTATAACTGGGTCTTGAGGAAGACTTATTCCCAATAATCTGAGGAACCGCCATACTGATTTCCAAAGTGGCTGTACAAGTTTGCATTTCCACCAAGAGTGGAGGAATGTTCCCCTTGCTCCACATCCTCTCCAACATAAGCTGTCTTCAGTGTTTTTGATCTTAGGTATTCTGACAGTTGTAAGATGGTATCTCAGAGTTGTGAAACAGAATTTTAAATAGTGGTTACCCTCCAAAAGATTGGTTTGGAGGGAAAAAAACAAAATTCTAGATCCACTATGGATCAATCATTATTATTTACTTCCCCAAAGTATGGGTCGCAACCTAAAACTTGAGAATGCTTTTTTCTCAGAATTACTACTACTGTGATAAAACACCATGACCAAAAGCAACTTGGGGAGGAAAGGATTTGTTTGGCTTGAATTTCAATATCTTTGTTTATCATCAAAGGAAGTCAGGACAGAAACTCAAACAGGGTAGGAACCTGAAGATAGGAGCTGAAGAAGAGAAGACAGGTTCTGCTTACTGGTTTGCTCCTTAGGGCTGGCTCAGTCTGCTTTCTTATAGAAACCAGGACCATCAGATCAGGGGTGGAACCATTTGGAATGATCAGGGCCCTCCTCAATCAATCAATAATTAAGAAAATGCACTATAGGCTTTTATATAACGGAGGCTCTTTCTCCTCATAACTTTCACTGGTGTCAAGTTGACAAAAACTAGCCGTCACAACTAACCCTTTGTCAAATTGACATACAAACACACCACTGTTATGCCACAACCTTTCCTTTCTTATTCATCCCCATGATCACATTTTAATATAAACATCACAAAAGAAAACATTTTACAAACTTAAGTGTTTATAAATCCAAACACTTTAAAATTCAGTCTCTTAAAAAAAATTCAGTCTCTCTTCTGAAATCCAAAGTCTCTTTTAAAATCCAAACTCTACAACTGTGGACTCTCATAAAATCAAAAATAAGTTAAATGCTTCCTTACATCAAGAGGGGAGAATGAAGAATCAGGTCACAGTCACAAACAGATCAAAGTAAAACCAAACTGCAATAGCAAATCACTCAGTGAACAATATCAGGGATATACTCACGATCTTCTGGGATAGTCCAAAGGTCCTGGGTCACTTCTCATGCTCTGCCCTCTGCAATATACACACCTTGTCCTCTAGGCTCTGACAAGCTCTACTCTGTAGCTGCTGCTGATGCCATAGTATTGGTATCTTCAAAATGCATCTGCTGCAACTGGGCTGCCCTTTTACCAATAGCCTCTCTTGGGCTCTCATGGTATCAACAAGCCTCAACTTCTCAGCATGACCCATACAATCCTGGGGCTTCAATTCCTTCTGAAGCTGAACCTTTACCAATGACCTTTCAGAGTACCAACCCTCAGATGTTTTCTCTGACCCCTCCCTGCCTTCAAAACAAGTGCCACCTGGATGAATCTTACACTACTAAGTTTGGCTACCAGCATAAGGTACAACCTTGGATGCTTCTGGAACATAGCTTTTGTGTGCTGACTCTTAGGAGCCACTTTCCATAAGATTCCAGTACCTCATTGATTCTGGTCTCTTCTTAATCATTGCTGACTTCTCAGCTCCAGCTGATAAATATCGATTATCCAAGCAACGCAAATGTTCCTTTCACTTTAGTGGTTTTAGTCTTCACATAACTGGCCTGGTAGAGTAGTTGCTACCCTCTGAAACTTCACAAGGTAGGCCTCTATCTTCTGCATTTCTTTCCACATGCTTATTTTCCAAGGTTCCACAGAACAGCTCATCAAACTTTTAATACTCAATGGCTTTTCTAGCTCCAAATTCCCATGACCTTCCACCATCCGGTCTGTCACAGAAATATTCCACTTCCTTGGCACCAATTTTGTCCTAGTTAGGATTACTGTTGCTGTGATATAACACCACGACCAAAAGCAAGTTGGGGAGTAAGGGGTTTATTCGGCTTACACTTCCACAACGTTGTTCATCACTGAAGAAAGACAGGACAGGATCTCAAACAAGGCAGAAACAGAGGCAGGAGCTGGTGAAGAAGCCATGGAGGTATGCTGCTCACTGGCTTGCTCTCTATGGTTTGCTAAGCCTTCGAGACTGAAAGGAAAAAGAGCTGAGGATGACATTAACAAACTTGCTTAAATAAACATTGTTCAAATTGGTTTTCTATTTGGCCTATACTATTTTTCTTGTTTTTTTTTTCTTCTAAGGTAGAGTATTTTTAAAATCTATCTTCTAAATAACATTAGTAAATCTGGTTCTGATCTCCACAGTCAATATCATATTAATGAAACTGAGTCCAGACATTTTTCTTCCTTGAGATAATTCACTCATATGTATTTATCTTTTCTGCATAGATGTGACTCAGCATGGTTTGCTATTTGATATTATTCATTACCCTATTGTACAGCGCAGAAAAAGTTAGGAGCTGAGATTTCCGCCTCCTCTTCATTCTCTTCTTGACTTTCATGAGTTTCTTTATTCAAAGAAATACTTATTTTAGGTTGAACAACCAGGAAGTCTTGGAGAATGAATCATTTTTTTCCCCTAAGAAACCATATAAAGTTTTCTGACAGGCAGTAATTCTTGAACAGTCACAAAATAACAGTTTCCTTGACTCACATTCAGTTACAAGGCTGGAATTCCTCTCCCACTTTGTTATGTGGTATACATATTGGAAACTCATTTCTGTTTAATGTGATGTAAACCAGACTCACTAGGAAGTGAGTATCTTAACTCACAGAACTCTGCAATCTTGTTTGTCTGCCTAGGCAAGCTAATCTGATTGTAATCATGTTACTTATCTTTTAATTTCTTTTGAGGCTGGTGCACATCAGAAGTGGCATTCAGCTGGGAATAACACAGGTAAAATTGATTTTTATCACATTTAAATGATTCAGGGCTTCAGTGTGCTTTTAGATATGCAATCTTAAACCACCTTAGGGTGGGAATCCAACATAGAAACCACAGGCATAAACCCAATGGAGAAGAATAACAAGACTGTAATAATGTAAACACAATTATAAGTAAAGTCCCAGTGATTCTGATCCTCATCGACTTTTTCATATCAAATTAGCCATGAATATTCATTTAAAAATATACACATTTTATTGAAGAACTAGGAAAACTATTATTGCTCAAACAATGCCTGATTGCCTTCTCTCTCTTGAATCAGGTTCACCTACAACATCAAAAACAAATAATAAGGAAAATAATATTTTATGTAAACTAAATTAATGGAAGGCAAATAAAAGCATCAGTTAGTAGCTAAGGCATTTTAAAATGAAGCACGCTGGGTAAAATAGTACTTAATACCTACTTATTGTGCAAAAAAATAGGAACTGTAAGATGTGAAGATGATGTCGCTCAGTTCATGATTTGAGGAAGGTTGGGAAGGTTTTTGTTTCAGGCTATTGAGTTATAGAGTCTTACAAGGTCTCTCTTGCAAGAATCAAGAGTATTGAGGCAGATACCTGAGTAGAGGATCTGCCCAGAGACAAGTGGGAACACAGGCATCCAGACAGGGGGAAACCAAATCTGCAATGATAAATTCCTGCTGGTGGAAGTCACAGCAGATGAATGGAGTTGGGAGGAGTGATCAATAGCACACACAGCTATAGTGATCACAGCACAGCTTCTAGCAAGTCCTAAATTGAAATAACTAGGAGATAACTATTAGAGAACTACATTAACAACATGAGACATACAAAGGGAATAACTATATATAAATGATAGATAGATATTACCTTATGCAATATTTATATAATCAGATAGAAAGAGAAAAACAACTTCTGAGGCAAAATAAAAGGCAAAAAAGATCAATTCAGATTGTATTTCAAAATGTTTTATACTATTTTCCAAGCTTAAGTGCTACAAATAAAGCACACACATGTAAAAAAATATAAACACACCAGAACCTGATATACTAGTTTGGTGATATTTGAGTATGAAAATACTGGAAGAGATTGTTTTTTAAAAGATTATACATCTGTTTCTGTTTTTCTATATAATTTATATATTTACACACATATTTAGTTAATGTAGAAAGAAAACAATGGCATAAATGATATAAAAAGAATCATTAAGTGTGGAGAGAGAGTTCTAGGGGGTTATGGTAGGGATAAAACTGATGGCTGGCTGTGTATTACTAGGAAAATCAACTACGAAGAAAATATAATTAGTTCAAGTTTCTCTGATCTTGTTATTTAGGGATTGGGATTACAAGTAACAAATTCTGTTCATATAACTGAAATACGTTCGAAGTGTCTTTAAAATACAACCATATATAACAGGCTCAGAATAAGGCTAGAGCATGAGAAGAAATACATGATGTAATCAATTGATAAAGTGTGTAACTTGGCTCATAGACTCAAAGATTTTAATAGAAGATCCATTGCCTTCCTCCCCTCACCCCATACCCTTTAGTTGTTTTTATGTTCTTCCATAATTTTTGAAAGATAAGGCACATATGCAGCACACAGCTGCAGGGAGGGGAGGCGTATTCTGATGAAGAGCTTCAGGTGATGCAGAAGCCCTGGAGGTTGGAGTGGCTCCCTCAGTGCCATTAAGGCCTCACTGTAGCTGATCAGAGTGCAGTGCTAGACAAGAAGCAGGGATTCATTGGAAAGCAGAGCCAGGCTAAATCCCTCAGTGTCTCTCCCTAGTGGCTTACATGTAACAGCTAGGGCTTGTGTGCCAAAGGTTCCACAAGCTACAAAAACATTATCATGAGCTGGGGAGTGAGTGTTTCAAAATATGAACACTTGGGGAAATTGTACATTCAAACCACAACTAGCAGGTTGCTTTTAGGCCTCTAATAAATCAGAACATCACAGCAAGAGTGCACAAAAGATCAAAATCATTCACTGCTCTGCCAGAATGTGAAAAAGAAAGAAAAGGAAAAAGTAGTAGATTAGGTGCCCAAATCTCCCCTAAATGTTCTTTCCCATTGACCTAAATCACTAAAGCCATCCAAGCCTGACTTCTTAAGGCTTTCCTACCTCTCCAACCCAGGATAGGCTGCAGACATAATTGTGGACAGTTAACCAAACAGTTAACCGAACACCAAATTTAGTAAAAATTTTAATGTGTTTTCAGATTCTGCATCTCAGCCTTATTAAATAAAGACAACTCTATTTAATGTGGTATGTATCTGATGTGAGTAATACCATAAGATATATATGTTCTTGTTTAAAACTTGTATTTGGTGTTTGGCCATCCGATCACCAGGGTAGGTATGCAGAGATCCACGGCCAAGCGCCAGGTAGAGCTCCAGGAGTCCAATCGGCTAGAGAGAGGAGGGATTATATGAGCAAGAGATATTGAGACTATGATTGGAAAAAGCACAGGGACAAATAGCCAAACTAGTGGGAACACATAAACTATGAACCAATAGCTGAGGAGCCCCCATGGAACTGGATCAGGCCCTCTGGATAAGTGAGACAGTTGATTAGCTTGAACTATTTAGGAGGCCCCCAGGCAATGGGACCAGGACCTGTCCTTAGTGCATGAGCTGGCTTTTTGGAATCTAGGGCCTATGCTGAGACATTTTGCTCAGCCTTGGTATAGGGAGGAGGGGACTGGACCTGCCTCAGCTGAATCTACCAGGCTGAGCTGAATCCCTATGGGATATCTTGCCTTGGAAGAGGTAGGAATGGTGGGTGAATTGGGGAGGAAAGCTGGGGAGTGGGAGGAGGACAGGGGAATCTGTGCCTGATATGAAAATTAAATTAATTATAAAATAAAATAATAATTTAAAAACTTGCATTTGGGTTAATTCAATCAAAACTTACATAATTCATAGACGCTTTCCAATTGCACTTATTTGCTTATGTATGTATGTATACATGTATCTATCTGTCATCTATCTACCTATCTATCATCTATCTATCATCTATCTATCTATCTATCTATCTATCTATCTATCTATCTATCTATCTATCTATCTATTTTTATTATTTGGTGGGGCAAGGGATCCAACTTAGGACTGAACTGCAATTCTAGGCCCATTGTCTTGTATTTACATACTCATTTCTTTGAGGCATCAACTAGCTATGTAGCTCAAACCAAAAACTTATGGTCCTCTTAGCTTATCCTTCTGTGAGCCAAGGAGTATGTCACAGAAACAGGTATGTCCATCATACCTGGATTCTGTCATTTTTTATTTAACGCCATCTTGATTAATACAAATGAAAGCACATGTAGTGAAGACAAAAACAAGTCATTAGTTCAGAAAAACAATGAAGCATAGCACATGCAAAGCATTTAGTCCTGCCTGTTTATTCAAGATAACATTTAAGATACTAGCCAACCCCACCCTTGGGCTTTTCATTGATACCAGAGATGATGGGAACAACTCTTTAGACTCATTTACCAATCCCAATTTGCTGCTGGTTTGAGGGTTTTGTTGTTGTTGTTGTTGTTGTTTTATTTGTTGGTAGTGGTAGGGTTTTTTTGTTGTTGTTGTTGCTGTTGTTTTTGTTTGTTTTGTTGGTTGGTTTTGATTGGTTGGTTTTTGAGACAGGGTTTTTCCTGTGTAACTACTCTGACTGTCCTGGAACTTGCTTTGTAGAAGAGGCTGGCCTTGAATGCACAGAAATCCACCTACCTCTGCTTCCCAAGTGCTGGGATTAAAGATACACCACCACTGCCTGGCTACTGATCTTTTGGTATTTGGTGGTGGTGTTTGTCTTGTTTTGCCCAGGGTCATATTTAATTACTAAAGACATAATTTGTCTCATTTTTGCAACACTACATGGATTCATCTCAAAAGTACTTCAACAATTTCTAAACTACAAATGGGAATGTAAACTTTGCTAGCAGAAAGAAATAATAGGTTGAGAAGTTTATTGATAATTATTGCATACATGGACTTACTTATACGTGTTAATAATAGTGAACAGAGATGTTGAAATGGCTTCACCCTTAAGACAGACAACGAGTGAATAAGAAGAGAAAGACAAGGGATAGACAACAAAATGGAAGAAATATTTAGTACTGGCTCACAATTTTCTAAGTGTAATAAAATGAATTTCCATATGCATCTTATGCCTAAGACTGTCAGTAAACCCCATGAAAGATGAATACACAGAAAACCATAGCCAGGTTCATCATACTACAGTCTCTGGAAATCAAAGATAAATAGAAATTTTCATGAGCACAGAAAGAGAGAACACATACTATCAAGGACAGCAATGAGGATTATTGAGGGGAACATTCTCAGGAGAAACAATTCAAATCAGAGGGGAAAGGCACTGTATTCAAATTAATTTTTAAAAGTCAGACCAGAAACTTATTTACAATAAAAATAACTATCAAAGCCAAACATGAAATTCACACACTTTTGTGACACACGAAAGCTGAAAGAATATACTTGTAGTCGAATTTCAACACAAGACACACTGAAATTTGTTCATCAGGTTGGCATAGGATGGAGAAATGGAAGCTTGAATGTAACACAAGAAGACAATAACGGAAGTGGCTATCCATGGAGTAAAGATGAAGACTACCACTTACTTTACTAGTTTTTTTCTATAAAAATGTTTTTCCTATGAAAGAATGTAGATATATGTATATATGATTTTAGAAATGATCAATTTTTGAAGATAAATTGTGGTCATATATTCTAATTTACTGTGTACATAGAATTTCAATACAGGAAAACAGAAGAATGGAAAATCAGAGTTGTACGTAGAATTATTCTTTGGAAAGTTTTCTGCTGTTATTTTGTAGTAGCTTTCTTATTATTTAAAAGTAGATTGTGATAAATTAAAAATTCATGATATAATCTCTATATTGTGCATTAACATATACCACAATAAAGTGGAACTAAAATCATTGTAATAGAGTATACAGATTGTCAAATTGAATACAAAATGAGTTTCATTGTACACTGACTACAAAAACTCACTCTACATGTAAAAAAAACAGACACCATAAACAAAAAAATCAATACATCATAGAAACAAATAAAATGCTAACATGAGCCAGACGTTGGTGGCACACACCTTTAATCCCAACACTCGGGAGCCAGAGCCAGTGAGTTCGAAGCCAGCCTGGTTTACAAAGTGAGTTCCAGGAAAGACACAAAGCTACACAAAGAAACCCTGTCTTGAAAAAAACAAACAAAAAATGCTAGCATGAATATATACTAATAGAGATGAAATAGATTTCGAAAGCAAAATTAAGCCAGGCATTGGAAGACAAATAAGTTGTAATAAATTAGGAACATCATAGGGGAAAAATGTATCAAAGCCCGATTGGCAGCAACACTAGAGAAAGCTGGTGTCTTTGTTTTGGTTTCTGTTGCTATGAAGGGGCATCATGACCATGGCAACTCTTATAAGGAAAACAATTAATTGGGGTGACTCACTTACAGTTCAGAGTTTTGGCCCATTATCATCATGATGGGACATGTTGGTATGTAGGCAGATGTGGTGATAAAGGGGTAGCTGAGAGTCCTACATCTTGGAGGCAACCAGAAATGGAAATGGTCTCAGAGACTGGGCAATATCTTGAGCACAGGAAACCTCAAAGCCCAACACAGCAGTGACACGGTTCTTCCAACAAGTTCATACCTACTTCAAAAAAGCTGCACCTCCTAATAGCACCACTCTCTAAGAGCTTATGGGGGTGAATTACATACAAAGTATTACAGCTAGTGTAGAATAGTCAGCGACAGAAGTAAAGAGAAAAACAGGTAAACGTACAGTTATACATAACCATAATTGACAAAGTAACACCCCTCATGGGAAATAATTATTTGTTCCAAACACTGTGGGAAAAAAATGTGATAGTTCGTTCTCAAATACAAATAGTACTATCATAAGACCCAGCAATTTCACCTTCAGATGTATATATAGTGAATACAAACCAATATAAATTGAACAAATAGAAAAAAATCTGTATTTTAAAAATTTGATAAAACCTTTACCACAGTGTGGTGATTCATACCTTTAATCCCAGCACTCAGAGGGCAAAGGCAAACTGATTTCTGTAGGTTTGAGACTGGCCTGGCCTACCTAGTCAGTGCCAGACCAGCCAGAGTTACACAGTGAAAAACTGTCTCGTGGGGTGGGGGTAACTTACAGAATGGGGTTGTATTCATCAGGATTTATTTTTCAAAATGGGTACACTAAGATTATCTTGTTAAATGAATTAATCCAGGAAGGAAAAAAATGTAGTATTCTGTGTTTGCTTCTCCTGCATGGGATCTAGAAATGAATGGTATGGAAACTGCGGCAGATCGTGAAGAAAGAAGGAAGAACCAGTGAGAGCGGGGACAAGGGAGAAGAAAGAAGAACAGAGGCGTGAACGTGACTGTGGTCCTTCAGGTACATATTAAAATGTTACAAGGAATGATTGTTTCATACAGACAATATGCTAGTTAGTTAAAGTAGAAATGCACGTGAGGTTGAATGATTACAAAGAAAAGATGAAGTCGAAGTGAAAACAGGCTTCATTAAAACTGATCATTAGTTTTGCACTTCCAGCTGTTGATGCTGCTTTCATGGCTGAGGTCAGAGGACCAGCTGCAGAAGTGAGTTTTCTCTTCCACTATGTGATTCCAAGGGATCAGATTTTTTCAGCAAGTGCCTTTACCCAATGAGCCCCAAAATCAAATGGAAAAATTTTCATCATCAAAATTCAATACTTGGACTCTTTAGCTGCAAATTCTTAGAAACACAAGGGGAAAACAAAGACTAAAATTCAAAATTTAAAAGTAATCTTTGTGCATTAATAAAATTTCAAATAATTCATTAAAAATAGCTAAAGTCTTAAGCAAATACTTGAAATAGAAGAGTCACAGATTTACTTTAAAGTATCCTCAGGATTAATTATACATAGAGTAAAATAAAGCAATAATGAGATGTCACTTCAACATCTTTAGTAAAGTTAAAATGAAAAGTTGAATGGCAGTGAAGCTTGGCAAGGACAGATCAAGTGCTGTTCTAACTAATTGCTGGCAAAGAAATAAAATAGCACAAATTCTTTGAGGTGATTTCAGATAATGTTATCAACTTCTGATCAAGTCAGATAAGCATCTATCATAACAGCTTGTGAACACAGATAAACAATTTATGTTGCAATTACAACATGAGAAACTACTGGTAATGAATATCTTTTAAGAGAAAAAACAGTTGTTGGCAAATAGGAGTTGATGGCAAAAGAAACACAAGGAAAATTTTAGAGTCTACCAAAATGTTCAATGCTGTATCATGCACTAAAATTTACATTTTTATTATTTTCTTTTACTTCTTTTTTTTTTTTTTTGAGATAGGGTGTCATTGTACAACTAGGTCAGCCTGGAACTAAGATCACAGAGATCTGCCTGCCTCTGCCTCTGCCTCTCAAGTGTACATGAACACTCTTATTAAATAAGAAAAACAGAGCCAATTGCAGAGTTAAAAGCCCATGAGGTCAGAGCAATAGCTAATAGCTAAAAACCCTTTCTTACCCTTCACTGACACTGCTGTCCTTCCCCTCAGCAAAGAGGCCTACTTTCTGTGTGTCTATCCTTTTATTGACTTTCTGTTCTGCCTTCTCATTGGTTGTAAACCCAACCACATGACCTCCTCATCACTGCCTGTCTATGCAGACCTCCAGGTCTTCTATGGTTAGTATTGAGATTAAAGGCATGTGTCTCCATGCTGGCTATATCCTTGAACCCAAAGAGATCTGCATCGCTCTGCCTCCCAAGTGCTGGGATTAAAGGTGTGGCCACCACCGCCCGGCTTCTGCTATGGTTTGCTATTAGCTCTGACCCCCAGCCAACTTTATTTATTAACATACAAATAAAATCACATTTCAGTACAAATAAAATAACACCATACTCAAGTGCTGGGATTAAAGGATTGTGCCACAATACCCACCTCTACTTTTTATTTTTATGCAATTTATATACAATTTGGAAAAGGCAACAATGACAAACTGAAATTCTAGCTCCTTGAATCAGTATTAAATCAACAGGAGCTGAGTATTTGGAAAATGCAAACAATACCAGAGTCCTAATCTCTTCTTAAACCCTGATATCTTGGCAAAGAAGATACACATATCTTGAATAACAAATTTTAACTCCAGTAAAATTAACTGAATCATGTATCATATGGTCAATTGTAATTCAAAGTCTCCTCTTGAGTGCAGAAAATGATGGTAATTTAAAATTGAAAAAAAAAAAGTGGAAAAACTTCCTGAACTTTATATATTTGAACTTGATGTCTTGCTGTTATTTAGTAATTTCTTGGAGAAACAGAGGGAAAAGAAATGGTTAATGTCACAATGTCCCTAATGTTTACTGCTCTTTAGAGACTATATATACAACAGTAGTTCTTGTCATTGCTCTAAAACCTTACCAGGAGCATAGCATATCAAGACTGTAAGAATTTGTTGTATTCAAGTTATAGAGAGAATTCCACAGTCGTTTGCATTAGGTTAACATCTTGGTATAAAGCTCTTACCTTCAATCTGAGTACTCTAAGAGATATCCTGATTCATCTTTTCAGTTTCTAGAAAGCTTACATTCAATAGTTAAAGGTCCCTTTTTCCATCCTCAAGGCAAGCTTCATACATCCTTCAGTTTCTATGAAACTCCCCTACCTTATGTTTTATAATTGCACTGAGTACAATTAAATAATCTCCTCACATCAATATTCTTAAACCCCTGCTGCATCTGAAAAGTGGCTTTTGTTATATAAGCTAAAACTAGCACATAGTTTAGGGAATTAAAAGTGTACTTAAAGGTAAGGAGCATGTGATTCTGCCTATCCCAGTTTATCCTCTGGCCCCCAAAGATACAGAGTTTTCATATGAAAACTACATTTGTCTCAACTGCCTCTCTGACTCAATCTATTATACCACAAGATTCAAGTCAAAGTTCTCATCAGTTCAAAGTTTTCCAATTTAATCATCATCATTTACTTCTATTGTCTTTCAAAGACCTGGCAATAATAATCTACTTGGCTCATATCTCTACCTTTGACTGAACAGTATTACTTTCTTCTCTATAAAGTTGTAAGACACTGACAATGTCTTAAGTTTCTTCTGTCATAAAAGATAACATATTCCAAATAAAAGAATGGGGACATCTTCAGGGGACCATTTCTGTATTAATTTTTTTATGAATATGTACAATCCAGATTATTAAGCCTCTGCAAGCTTAACTGAACTTAGATCTACCTCACTGATGGCTTTTCCAACTTAGTGGACTGATGCTTCTGGCTACTGGAAGGAGGCTTTGCTTTTTCCACATAGAGATCTTCTGGTAATGGCTACTTGGCATGGCAACTGACTTCTCCTGAGTGATCAGTCTCAATTATAAGCATAGGCATAGCAATATTTTTGTCTTTCCACATTCTACTAGTCACATAGCCCAGCCCTAACATAATTCAAGACTATGATAGGACATACATGAAAGTACGAAATATAGAAACTTTCCTTGACAGAAATTTTCATCCACATCATAGGAAAAATCAATATGATTGACAAGAACGTAAATTCTTCATTTTTTAAAGTCTTCAAATCTTCACTCTAAATTACTCTCATTTTGTTCAATGGAAAAAGACTGAGAACAAGAAAGTTATATATTTCACACACAAAAAAATAGGATATCTATCTTTGACATACTAAACATACAAGTAAAAATGAATCTAAGTTACTGATCGCATCTAGTCCATTTAGGCACTAACCTGAGACTCTGATAGAGCATTTATTAACTGCATTTATAAAGTTAAATTCTCAAAGTATCAAAACCCTGAGTCTAAAGATTTATTTCAGCATATTTTCAAAGGAATGCATTGTTTGCATGGGAATTCAGCCAGTATTTTAAAAAAAATCTCCTTGGCTCTAAACTGCATTGTTGTGTAATCACAATTAAAGTGGGGGGAGGCCATCTAGTGCTTTCTTTAAACAATCACCAGGGTAGTATTCCAAAGAGAAGGATAATTAAATGGACATCTATCCCACATCTTTCTCTTGACTTTTAGTAGAAATAACAGTGACCTGCAGGATTGCCCTTACCCCAGCCTAATGTTATAATATTTTAACAAGTTAATTAATGTATTCTTTAAGGAAAAAAAACTGGTGATGCATAGGATAGGACCCAGAATGTAGCTAATCAAATAAAATTTCTTTTGCTCTGCTACATGTGAGGGCTTATGAACTAATTTTTAGCAACAATCCTTTTCAGAGGAAAAAATATTAAAGAACAAAAATTGGCTACAAAAGAGGACACAACTTCATAATCTCTGAGATGTTCTCTTGCCAAATAGGTATGCTGTATTTATTTCCTAATATGGTCCTAGACACTCTGGAGGAAATTATAGGAACTAACACAGTTTCCAACCTGAAGGAACTTGGGGTGAAGGGTCCCGACTCAGTTAAAATTAAGAGATGTCAATTAGTCACCTTCCTGCTCTAAGCTTCTGCATGGCAAATCCTGGTCAGAAAGGAATTAGAAGGAGGTAACAATGTTAATTTTATTAATGGCCACTCAAAAAGGCACAGTGCAGTAAAGGTGGATTGGAGGACAGAGACAGAACACACAAACAGAGTAGTTGGCATCTGTAGTTTCCCCTCCAATCCAGATAGTTCAACACTGAATTCATATACACACATTTAGCTGAATCAGGAAAAACAATTCTCATCCAATACAGCCACAAAAACCTATTCACTTTAGATATTTATATACATTTGTCTCTCTGTCTGTATGCCTCAAGAAACACCTAGATCTACAGAGTGGCTTATTCTGCAGATTCTTATTTACCACAATCTGACAGAGACTGTAATATTTTTTCAATAATGTACTTAGTGATCCACACTGTGTGATTGTGTAGTTGCAAAAAGCCAAAGCAAAACTCTCAAAGAAATTACTAGAAAGATTTTAGAGGGAATTCAACATCTCATTTAGTATTACCTCATTAATTTATATCCAGTTAAGAGAAAAAGAAAACAAATTATAACACAAGAGCTCCAGAGAAACCATTAGAGCACATATTAAAAAGTTGCTTTGAAACATAGTAAACAAGAATTGGGAATGAATTAAAATCATATCATTTCATTTCACTAATGACTAAATATTTAAACAAGTTTGTTTGGCATCTGGAGGACAGCCAATACTAAAGCCTCTTCAATGAAGATTTTTTTTTCTTGCTTAGTAAAGCTGCAATTTTCATGTATCTTTCTTCTTGCAGGTTTTAGTGAATACACACACACACACACACACACACACACACACACACACATATATATATATATACACATACTAAGAGTGTCAGTGATCAAACCATCAAAACATTTTAGGTTATATCACAGGCCTATGTAAGTTGTCATAGGAATATAAGCAAAATAATCTAATGATTTTAAAATAGCTAGTACAAAATAGCATTGTTCCTAACCATACAAAGAATTTATTAAGAGGCACAAGCAATAAAACTCTTGAGGATAGTAAGATTCTATTCATTTTTCATTTTTTGGACACTAACCAAATATATATATATTTGCAGACATAGGCATACATAAGCACAAATGTTTATGATCACATATAGACACAGAATCTTTTTCTAGAGAGTCTTTTACATTTTGATATTAGAGTTTTTGGAAATACTAGGTTACAGGTCTACAGGACAAGTCACGTGTCTTGTTGCCGTGATAAATTACCAGAAAAAAAGGACTAAGGAAGGAAGGAAGGAAGGAAGGAAGGAAGGAAGGAAGGAAGGAAGGAAGGAAGGAAGGAAGGAAGGAAGGAAGGGGGGTTTTGGCTTCCAGTTCCAGGCAAGGAAATCATGGCCACAGGATCTTGAAGAAGCTGATTGCATTCGACTCCCATTTAGGAAGCAGAGAGAGATGAATGCTGGTGTTAAGACAGCTTCCTCCTTTTCATGCACTCCAGGATTTCCAGCTCAAGAATGGTGTCACCCACATTTAAGGTGAATCTCCCCACCTCTGTTCATCTAATCTGGATTATTCTTCAGTGGTATACCCAAAGGCTGGTCTAATCTAGATTATCTCTAAAGGGCATACCCAGAAGTTTTCCTTCTAGGTGATTCTGGATCCTGCCAAGTTGAGATTCAGTATTAACCATATATTAATATTTCTACAAATAGATAATAGCAAAGAATCAGGAGTTAAGAAACAAAAACTCAGGGTAGGAGTGACATCTCAGTGGTTAAAAGGCTGTACTGCAATTGCAGAGGACCTAAATTAAGTTCTCAGGATTTATATCAGGTGGCTCACAATCACCTATAACTCCAGCTCCAGGGCATCCCATGCCCTTCTGGCCTCTTTAGGCATCTGCACTCAAGTGTGCTAACATGTATGAGCACACACACACACACACACACACACACACACACACACACACACACACACACATCTTTTGGAGGGACTGGAGAGACTGGTTAAGAGCACTGGATGCCCTTCCAGAGGACCCCAGTTCAACTCCCAGCTCCGACAGGGCCATTCACAACTGTCTGAAACTCCAGTTCCATGGAATCCAGCACCTTCATACAGACACAGATGCAGGCAAAACACCAATTCACATAAAATAAAAATAAATGAATGATTAAAAAAAAAGAATAGTTGGAGTGAATTCCTGTTTTCTAATCCCAGTGGTTCAGCCAATTTTGGCCAAGCAGAGCAGTCACCACAAAGAGCAACCACACCACTGCTTCCCTGTGAGCTCCTGCTAAATATGGCTCTCTTATTTCCACAGCAAAATGCAGGCCTTTGGAGCCAGCAGGCTCTCTTCAAGGACTTACCAATGTGTAGCAAAAATATTTTTGTGTGAAGAAAATACTCCCTAGTGCACTTGTTTGCAAACTGATGAATTTCTAGATAACTCTAAGCATGTTTGAGGACTATTTTTGATAGTGTGTGGATCTGGTGCTGAAATGCCTCTAAAGATTCAACACTTCTTTTTCTTTTCTTCCTTTTTTTTTCTTCCTTTTTGCTCACAGCATGTCACACGCAGGAGAAACAAAAAGCTGCTTGAGTAGCAATTTCTTATTTTGTACAGTAATTTGTTGTGTTGAACCCAGACCTGTTTCCTGCCTATAAGACAGTAAAGAGCAGTGAAGGGAAATGCAAATTAATATGAAACCCGAATACTCTACTTAGCAGCTTTCGACTTAGTAGACTCAATTGCCAAAAAGAACAGAAAGTGAAGCTATGCTCTGCTGTTAATTATGCTTCTCTTGCCTGCCAGGAACACTTTTGCCATTACCTAGAAACTGTAAAGAGTTGTTGTTTTTTTCCATCCAGAAATTTCTGGGTAATTTAATTACTGTTTATTTCTGTTTTACCCTCCTCTGCTTTAGTTTACATTAAATTCAGCAACTTAAGCAAATACTTTTCTTAATGGCTCTGTAGAGATACACTAACTGAAGTCCATTCAGTTCCTTCAAAAAAGTCTACCTAAGTCAAAGCAGAGATTTACTTTTCCGCTGTGGTAGTACATGTAAAGTAAAGGAGCATTCAGGTTCCTGATATCTGAATTATTAGGGATAATCTTTTGCATATCCATCTATAACAAATTATATTAATGAAATTTTAATATACTGGAAGTAGAATACATTTATACACGTGAAATGAATATTATAGATAATTGAGATATTTCTATAATTTACTCTATATACCATAAATAGGCCCCAAGTGGAGCTCCAGGAGTCCAATTGGTGAGAAAGAGGAGGGTTTGTATGAGCGAAAATTGTTGAGACCAAGATTGGAAAAAGCACAGGGACAAATAGCCAAACGAATGGAAACACATGAACTATGAACCAATAGCTGAGGAGCCCCCAACTGGATCAGGCCCTCTGGATAAGTGAGACAGTTGATTAGCTTGATCTGTTTGGGAGGCATCCAGGTAGTGGGACCAGGACCTGTCCTCAGTGCATGAGCTGGCTGTTTAGAACCTGGGACCTATACAGGGACACTTGACTCAGCCTGGGAGGAGGGGACTGGACTTGCCTGGACTGAATCTACCAGGTTGAGCTGAATCCCCAGGGGAGTCTTTGCCCTGGAGGAGATGGGAATAGGGAGTGGGCTGGGGGAAGGCGGGGGTGGGGAGTTGGGGGTTTGGGGGGAGAACAAGGGAATCCTTGGCTGATGTGTAAAATTAAATTAAATTATAAAATAAAAAAGAAAAATGTCAACATTTATGAATGGTTATATTTCACAATTATTTTCATTGTAGACATGATAAGCATGGACTTTTTTGTGTATTTCAGAGTTCAGCTTTGAAATACAATTGAAATTAATAATTATGATAATAACATGGTGTGTATTATGATTAACTTTCATTCATATGTGTTTTTCTATTATCCAGTGCTTAAAACTGAAACTATGATTTTTTGTTGTTGTTGTTGTTGTTTTGGGTAATAAACACATATGAATCAAAATGTCTTATAAAATTGTTTTATTCTTGTATTTTTGTCTGATTACATAGGGTACAAATTATTCATGTAATCACCATGTCTATCATTCCTGATTGTCACACAAAAGAACAGAATAGCATTTTAGTCACCAAGATCATTAAAACTTGAGATTATAACATGGTCATACATTTAGTAAATGCCATATAACCTCATGGTGACTGCCTACACTCAGTTGACTCTATCCCAAGTATTAAATTACAATTGAATATCTGATAAATCTCTATGTTGTGATGTTTTATTTGTGCTGAAATGTGATATTTTATTTGTATGTTAATAAATAAAGTTGCTTGGAATTCAGAGGTCATAGCCAGCCATAAACAGAAGACAGATAGTGGTGGCACATGCCCTTAATCCTATCACATGGCAGGCAGAGTCTCTGTGTGTTCAAGGACACAGCCAAACAAGGTGACACACACCTTTAATCCCAGTACCAACAATGGAGACCTGGAGATCTGTATAGATAGGCAGTGAAGAGGAAGTGAGGTTGGCTGGGTTAAGAGACAATGAAAAGGCAGAACAGCAAGGCAATAAAGGCGCAGGTTAGACAGGAAGAGGCTCTCTGGGGAAGCAATGGCAGTGTGGTGAGCTAGGGCTAGTTTGGTGGCTATCACTATTGCTCTGATTTCTATGGCTTGCACCATGTATTTGACTCTGTTTCTTATTTAATCAGACTGTTTAGAAATTTGTCTACATCTCCACTCTACTTTTCAATATGAAAATACATGCTGTCCTTTCTCTCTTTTATATATTAAAGTAGCATTACTGACCAACCATTTGCCTTAGGAAAATTTTCCAGTTATGGGAATAGATTTTCATTGGTTCCTTTAGTAACAAAGAGCATGTATTTTGGACATAGCTGGCCATAGTTAGGGGCATGCTTGGTCATCATGGAACAGGGCACAGTAAACTGGGTCCATACAGGAATTGAACTTTGGCATCATTAGTAGTCTGCTGTAATCTGCTGGATACAATAGTCACTAAAAAGTCTATTGGAAACCCATAACATGCTTAGCCATACACAGTGGATATAATTTAAAAAAAATTCTATGTATCAAAGATTCCCCTGAAAAACTATTAAACTTGCTTTTGTACTTTCTCATTTCAGGTGGTGGTAAAAAGAAATGCTTTAAATCTGAAGATGCATGGATGATTAAGGTTGGTTCCAAAAGCCATAGTTTTTTGTTTGTTTGTTTGTTTGTTTGTTTTTAATGAAAATCCCCTTGCTTTGTATAAAATTTAAAAAAAAAAAACAAATTTCTCTCTGTGTTGTTGGCTGAGGAGCAACCGCTGGCTCCTAAAACAATAGAGTCTCTTGCTGAGGACATCACATGCTGTGGTTACGTAAAAGTAAAACATATATTTCAAGATGGAATGGTGCTAGAAGTTTCTTCCCACTAGGTAGTATTCATAAGATGAAAGGTGTTATGTAAACTGCTGCATGAAAATAGGTTTCATTGCCCACCTCTCATCCGCAGTTTACTCATGGCAATCTCATCTATTTCCCATTTCCAGGGTAATCCATTTTTCTCCCTCAGGGTCCTCCTTGTTAGCTAGCTTCTCTGGAGCTGTAGGTTTTAGTCTGGTTATCCTTTGCTTTACATCTAGTATCCAGTTATGAGTGAGTACATACTATGTTTGATCTTCTGAGTCTGGGTCACCTCACTCAGGATGATATTTTCTAGTTCCATCCATATGCCTGCAAATTCATGATATCATTGTTTTTCACTGCTGAGTAGTACTCCATTATGTATATGTACCACATTTTCTTTTGTTTGTTATTTTATTTTATTAAGAAATTTTCTACTCACCCTACATACCACCCACAGATGCTCCCTCCTCCCTCCTCCCACTCTTCAGCCCTCCCTCCCAAGCCACCCCCTATCCCCACATCCTCCAAATCAAGATCTCCCATGGGGAGTCAGCAGAGCCCAGCACACCAAGCCAAGGCAGGTCCAAGCCCCTCCCCACTGCACCAAGGCTGCTCAAGGTGCCACACCACAGGCACCAGGCTCCCAAAAGCCTGCCCATGCCCCAGGGATGGATCCTGATCCCCCGGCCTGGGTGTCCCCCAAACAGTTTGGGGTAAACAACTGTCTCCTGTATCCAGCGGGCCTAGTCCAGTCCCATGGGTGCTCCACAGCTCCTAGACAACTCAGTATCACCTTTTCTTAATCCATTCTTCAGTTGAGGGGCATCTAGGTTGTTTCTTCGTTCTGGCTATTATGAATAATGCTGCTATGAACATAGTTGAGCATGTGTCCTTGTGGTATGATTGAGCATTCCTTGGGTATATGCCCAAGAGTGGTAGAGCTGGGTCTTGAGGAAGACTGATTCTCAGTTTTCTGGGAAACTGCCATACTGTTTTCCAAAGTGGCTATATAAGTTTGCATTCCCACCAAGAGTGGAGGAGTGGTCTCCTTGCTCCATATCCTCTCCAACATAAACTGTCTTTAATGTTTTGATCTTAGGGATTCTGACAGGTGTAAAATGGTATCTCAGAGTCTTTTTGATTTGCATTTCCCTGATGACTAAAGATGTTGAACAATTCCTTAAATGTCTTTCAACCATTTGAGATTCTTCTGTTGAGAATTCTCTGTTTAGTTCTGTAGCCCATTTTTTAATTATATTGTTCATTATTTTGATGTCTAGTTTTGGGGGATAAGAACATCGGGGAATGGGATGGTTGAGCTGGAACACAGACAGAGTGGGAGAGCAATGAAAGAGATACCATGATAGAGGGAGAAATCATGGGGATAGGGAGAAACTGGGTGTTAGGAAAGTTCCCGGGAATCCCCAAGGATGACCCCAGCTTAGACTACTAGCAATAGTGGAGAGGGTGCCTGAACTGGCTTATCCTAGTAATCAGATTGATGAATACCCTAACTGTTATCATAGAGCCTTTTTCCAGTAACTGATGGAAGCAGATGCAGAAATCCACAGTGAAACACCAGGCTGAACTCTAGGAGTCCAGTCAAAGAGAGAGAAGAGGGATTCTATGAGCAAGGGCATCAAGATCATGATGGGTAAACCTACAGAGACAATTAAATCAAACTAGTAGAAACTCATGAAATTTAGATCAACAACTGTGGAGCCTCCATGGGACTGGACTAGGCCCTCTATATGGGCAAGACAGTTGTGTAGCTTGATCTGCTTAAGGGGCTCCCTCGCAGTAGGATCACAATCCATCCCTGGTGCATGAGCAGGCTTTTTGGAGCCTACTACTTGTGATAGGACACCTCTTACAGCCTTGAGGCAAGGGGAGAGGCTTGGATCTGCCTCTACTAAATGTACCTCCCCATGGGAGGCCTTACCTTCTTATAGAAGGGAATGGAGGGTGGGTTGGGAGAGGGAGGCTGGAGGGGCAGGAGGAGGGAAGAGAAGGATCTTTGATTAGTACATGAAATGAATAAAAAAATTTCTTAATAAAAAATATGTTTCAAAGGCCTTACCCAGCTGTGGACAATGAATTCCACAATAATGACCTATTAGACATGATGTAGTCACTAGAATAATAATGACATGATTGTTTAGGAGATAACCAATTATTTTCTGCTTAGATTTGAAACCTACTCAACAGGACAAAGTTTATACCTGGTGTTATAAACCTAGTCAAAATTCTATCCTGGAGATATCATAGTACCTAGGGGAGCTTACTACTGATGCTGTGGTAAATTAAACATGGAAAACTACTTCTGAATATTTGTTTATACTCCTCACCCAGTGCTGTTCTCATCCTTGTTCAGAAAAGCTTATTTTTGCACTGGACACATGGACTCAGTTCAGAGAATAGGTACCACTTGCATGCTCAGACATAACCTGGACTCTATATCACTTTCACCCCAGCCCCACAAACATCATGGAAGAGAGGGCTGAAAGAATGCAAGACTTAGAGGATTGTGAGGAGTACAATGTAACAGTTTCTTTTAGACCTGGCATTGTCCTTGCAATCATGAATGTACAGCAGCCATGGCTCCCTGCGTAAGACTTGCACAGGGGAAAACATACATGCAACTAGAACAAGTTGGAAAGAACAAAGGAGTTGGCAGGAGTGGGAAACAGAGAAGAGAGGGTAAGGAGAGGTGAATGTGATCACAATGCGTCGTATACATGTATGGAATTGCCAAAACTTGAATCATAAAAACAAAAGAAAAATGTTGAATAAAATTTACAAATTTCCTGAGAGATAGTTCTAGTGATGGTTCTGGTCTTTTGTCTTTTAGTTCATTCAAAATATTTTGTGTTCTCTCTGACTTTCTGTGAAGAATCTCACACTCGGGGTATGTAAAATCTATACAAAGCCTGAAGTTTGCTTTGGCCTTTGCATCCTGCTCTAGATTTCCCTATCAGAACACTTGAATGGGATGATGCCAATGTCCCCAGCCCACACAGTGAAAAACGATGCAAGGACATTTGCTCTCTGCATGCAGATAGTCTCTGGTGGTGTTTCCACTCGGGCATGTTACTGAACACAGTGTGATGGGTTGCTATGTTTTTCCAAGTCTACTGCTGTCACCTCCTTCCTTTTCCTTTCCTTCTCTTCAGCTTCCTGCCACACCACCCCCTACTCCCACAACCCCAGCTTCTAAAAACCTATCCAAAAGGTTTCCTGTGATATCCTGTGGATTTTTTTTAAAGTAGGTTCTCATTTTTTTGCTTCGATTTTGGGTAGGACTTGGGAAGAAAAATAATTAAAAGACTACTGGAGATGGAAGGATGCAGTGTGCTCTCAGGCAGGCTGGGGAGTAGAGTGGTATTTCCTTATTGCTTTTTCTCTTTCAAAAGCTTGGTCCTGGAGCCAGGACCCATTTCTCTGCTTCAGATCAGCTGAACAGTGGGCACCACACCCTCAGATTCAGGGGATTCTTCCCTCTGTAGCTCTCTCTGCCCAGACATTTCTTACTGCTTGACAGATTTCCTGCTTCCCATAAGTACAATTTACTTCTCCCAGAACCACATCCAGTGCTTTCAAACTGCTGACAGCCGTCAGACGGCATATGTAGAGATTTCAAACTGCAAAAATGATGTCTGAAAACGCATACCATGTAATCTAATGGGAGAACTATGGAAACATTAGAATACATAGCACATGGTTTTATTGTAAAATTTCTAAATCTAATAACACACTTCCTGTCTTTTACAGATTCAATTTTAAGAGCATTTCCAGGGTCTCAATACAATAAAAGACCTCTTCATTAATGTTTATTCCTTCTAGCTTTAAGCTGGCAGCATCAGTATTCCTCTGTCTCTTGAGTTTATTTTTTAAGAGAATTTAGAGCTACACAGTTATTTTGATTTTTATTTCTTTAAGCACCTTAGTGAAGAAGAAATTACAGAGCAATGATGTTTCCATTCTTCTGGTCCTGGCATATAGTTAAAAGAAAGAATGCAAACTAGCTTCATTGGAAGGATATGCATAAGTGTGTTAGTATGTGCTACTGTTAACCAGTTCTTCTTGCTTCTGTGAAACTGCTAAGAAAAACTTCTACAGCCAAGTTAGAGAAGTTAGAAGTAATTAAATATCACAAATTAATCTTATGAATATAAAGGTTGATAACTTTACAAACTTAGGACTTCAATGTTTATATTTTCATTTTGTGAAGAAAAAAATACAGACTATCACGGAGATAAGAAAGCACTAGGAGATATGACATTTCCTTTGAATATCTGAGCTGTTGTGTTCTAAGCCTTTATTTTTGGAGGACCAAAAAGTAAGCCTAAAATTATTAAAATCACAAGAAAATTAGTATATTTTATTGTGGGAGTTATCTGTCAGACACTGAGTAGAGAGACAAATATTTTGTGAGTTTCTCAGGGTCTTATCTGAACCAAGGCCCTAAGGACCAAGGGACAGCTGGCTAGTGCTTTGTGGGTCAGATTGAAGAGAACCATACAAAAACAAAACAAAACAAAACAAACCCAGTGGCCACACATAAAAGGCTTTGATTGATGCCCCCCCAAATTACATCTGCGGTTTATTATTTGCTTTTTCCATGTGTCCTGAAAGCCTGCTCATTGTAATAAAGACTAAACTGTTAAAAAGCTTTTTCTTTTCCCCAGAAAGCTAAAAATGCTCGTATATAGCCTAGATTGTCATAGCAGAATGGAAGAACACCATGTTGATACAGGTAAGGTATAGATGACACCCAATGTTGACATGTCTAGCAGGTAAAAAGGAAAACACCAGAGGAGATGCAACCCCAGGGAGGGATCCTTAGTAAGAGAAAGGATAAAGATGGGAGTAAATAAGAAACAAATCTTTCCATTTGCTCATTTTCCGTCAGGCATTAAGCATCCTGGTTCATTCACTCTCACATGAATGCACTCTATCAAATCTTTTTGAAGGTCTTGTGTGCCGGACTCTCCCACAGACTCTAAGAAAAGTGCAATGAATACAAAAGGCAAAATTACATCCTCTGAGAATTTGCTGTTTGTTGGGCATATTCTTAAAAATGTGCAATCAAAGGTGCTAGTTATATAATCTACAACTCACAACAATATTCATCCAAATTCTCACAATGCTTGAAAGACAAGGCTAAATTGTAGAAATAATTGAGATGCCCACTATGCTTAATCCAGAAAGGGTCCGCTGGGACTCTCTGGTCTTCTGATGGTAGCATTTATAATCTTCCTTGTGCTTAGATGGGTAGAATGAGTATGAATGGGAACCTTTTATATTTAAAGGGCTTTTAAAAGAAAATGGTAATATTTATGCTATCTTTTCTCTCTCTCTCTCTCTCTCTATATATATATATATAGATATATATATATATATATATATATATATATATATATATATATATATATATATAGAGAGGTGCCCAAAACAGCTTGACCACACAAATGTCATGACAGGCTTAGGGACCCAGACACAGGTGCCATGACAGGCTTATTGGCAGGTACTACTTGGTCCTCAGGAAAAGCCATAAACTGGCACCACCCAGGAACGGGCCATCAGCATTCCAGGGGAAAATACCTAATGTCCAGAGAAAACATCTAATGTTCCAACAATTATAGATATCACCAAGTGTCCTTTAGCCCAGCACACACCTATCCTCTTTTGCCAAGACACCCCTAGATAAATGTCAGGCAATTAGGGTCTTGATCCTAAAAAATCCCCTCACCGGCAACCTCTACTATGAGGAAAAGCCTACCCCACCCCATCTTGGCACTCTCCTCCCTCACTGCTGTTTTGGACAGATGGAGGGTAGGAACTCAAACTTGAATAAAGCCTCTTTGCTTTTGCATACACCATCATTGGTGATCTTTGGGGAACCCCACAATCTGGTCATAGCAATGTTAATGACACTTCTGTAGGGAAAGAAATCTCAATTTCTTTCTATTGCTCTATAGTATACCATTCTGTGAAATTTTACGGCAATTTTCTTATATGGCCCTTTTTTTAAAAAATAAGTATTTGTTATATTTCTTACTATTTGTTTTGACAAATAATATTGAACAAATAGCTCTTCCCATGCTTTATTCTGTGGTGATGTATTGTGTCCCCCAATATATTGTGCACCGTAATAAACTTATCTGGAGTCAGAGAACAGAACAGCCACTAGATAGACATAGAGGCCAGAAAATGGTGGCACATACACCTTTAATCCTATCACTTGGGTTGCAGATATCCATCCGGATCTCTCTGAGTTCAAGGCCACACTGGAAAAAGCCAGGCATGGTGACACACACCTTTAATCCCAGGAAGTGATGACAGGAAGCAGAAAGGTATTAAGGTGTGAGGACCAGGAACTAGAGGCTTTTAAGCTTTTAGGCTTTTAGCAACAGTTCAGCTTTGATCCATTCAGATGAGGACTCAGAGGCTCCAGTTTGAGGAAACAGGATAGGCTGAGAAGTTGGCGAGGTGAGGTTGGCTATGGCTTATTCTGCTCCTCTGATCTTTCAGGATTCAGCACAATACCTGGCTCCCGGGTTTGTTTTTATTAATAACACCTTTTAAGATGCATGTTACATCATTTCTGTGATATGTTTATTTACAATTTGTAAGTGTAACTTTAGAAATAAAATTAAGATGGATTTTTGTTTTCAGTTTTGACTGCTTTTGTGAAAATAGCCTCCCCCCAAAACTACCATTTTTCTTCTCTCTACTTACAATGCATTGCATAAATGCTGTTTCCCACTCTGATATAATGTTTAGCTAGGAATTTTGTTAATATAATAAATAAAAATTGCACTGTTTTGGACTTTTATAAAAGGGATTGGTCATCTTTTCATTTGGTTGAGAAAATATTAAATGTGTTTTTCTCTGGGAATGAGGACTCTGTGATCCATTTTTTTCTGTTAAAGCTTTTTTCTACTCTATATAGAAATATTTTTATTTCTTATAGACACAAAGGCTTCTTGAGTTTGTGATGGAATATCAAAAACATTTTCTCTTTTGCTAGGTGGCTTGAGCCTATTTCTATTTAGAGACACACCAGATACAATGAGTATTATGACCAATTACAGTATTCTAACTTCCTTCTTCCTCTATTTAAACTTTCTGTCATTACTAGTAACATTTAGTGTTTACTGTTTTTTCCATTGCTTTCTCAAGGTTGTGCATTGGTGCTGCCTGATTTCCTATAGAGAGGTTATTCTTCAGATTTTCTTTCAAAAATAAAGGTGTGATGGCATGAAACTTTAATCCTATCACTCAAGAAGCAGAAGCAGAAGGATCTCTATAAGCTTGAGTGCCCCACTCCCCACCCCACCCACCCATCCCCACTGCCCCCACCCTGTCTCTATAGCAACTTCCAGGACAGACAGGACTCACAGAGAGACACTGTCTCAAAAACAATCAAGCAAATATGAACTGTTAGCTTAAAATATATTTTTGCTTTCTCTTAGTCATATATTTAGATTATATTATTTTCCTCCTGAATATGTTTTTGTATTGTCCTCATCCTCTGCTCTCTACATCTGGTTATACTCACTCTTCATTGAATTATGAGCTCTTTGCTTTGATGGCCCTGTAGAAGAATCCTGTGGAGTGAATAGAAAGTAGGATGCCAGGGTGACTTGGAGGGCTTCACGGGAAGTGACTTCTTTGGAAACATTTGCAAATATTGTCCTGGGCAGCTTTGCCTCCTCTTCTATTACTTTATGCTCTAAATTTTTTGGCTTCTGGCCCTTTTCACCCCAATTTCCACCTCTATTATTGTCCATAAGAGTTAGTTTTTTTCACTTTGGATCATGCTTTCACCTTCAGGAAGTGTGTTTGGCTGGCATATTTTGATATCTGCCACCTTTGGCCCTTTCCCAAATCTATTTTTTTTAATTCACTGAACTTCTCTTTCCTCCGACTCAGCCAGTTTTAGTCAGCTTTATTTGGAAGACTGTAGGTTATCTTCCCTCTAGATTTTCTTGAAATGGTAACTTTTTTTTTTCTTTTTAATTCCTAAGAGGAAATGGAATAGGTGGTCATTTAGACAGCTATTCTGTATTTTGAAGAATTGCCCTGTTATCTTTGAAAAGAAGCAGAAAATTGTGGAGAATTGTGAATAGCTAGTAATAAAGTTCATCTCATTGATCTGTGTTCTTCACAGAGGTCCAGATGCCAAACTTTATTTTGTTATCACCTTCTGTCATCATTATTATAGAAAAATTCCATTTTTATGGAATCATCCTTCTTTGAAAGACAGTTCATTAAAAACTTCTGTAAATTTTTTCCTATTAAAAAATTAAGTAGGTGCTCTGAAATCCAATTATTAGCAAGCTGAATTGTTATCTTAGTTAGGGTTTCTATTGCTGTGAAGAGACACCATGATGACTGCAGCTCTTATAAAGGAAAACATTTAATTGAGGTGGCACCTTACAGTTTCAGAAGTTTAGCCCATTATCATTATGTTGTGGAGCATGACGATGTGCGGGCAGGCATGTGCTGGAGAAGGAGCTACTACATGTTGAGTCCAAGGCAACAGGAAGTGGTCTCAGACACTGGGTGTGGCTTGAGCATAAATGAGCCCTAAAAGCCCACCTCCACAGTGAAGCACTTCCTCCAACAACATCACACCCACTCCACAAAGCCACATCTCGTAATAGTGCCACTACCTTTGGGGGCCATTTTCTTTCAAACAACCACAATTGTCAGTATGCTTAACTTCATTCCACTATAATTTAAAAACTGCAAATTGAGGTTGAATTTTCAATGGCGTTACCATTCTCTTCAATTTACCCTATGTTTCACCAATGACATGTGTGGTCAACCATCTGCTTACTGAAGACATGAATCAGTTGGACCTGCAGTTTTGTTGACCTTAGGAAATTAATACATATCTCTTCATTCACAGGCTTAACTTGCTGTGCTACCTAACAGTTTTTCCTTTCTGTTTAAAAAGTATTTCCCTTTTTTGTAAGGTAAACTTAGAGACAAGGCAAAAATAAATTAATAATGATTTAATTGGGGGGAGTTAATAGCTACCCATTTAATTTGAAATAGTAATATATCTATGCAATTCCTCTTGTAAGGGATGTAGACATACCACAGAACTACTTCTTACTGTTTGCTTCTTCTTTCCGGGAAATAAACTTACATATGTTTGTATGTCAGAACAGCTTTTCATGTCTAGTTTCCTCTAAGCTGCTTTTTTCTTTTAGTTTTTTCCTTTTATTCACAATAGATTATTTTCTAATACAATACATCCTGATGATAGTTTCCCCTCCGTCTGCTCCACCCAGCTCCTCCTCACTTCCCCTGTCCCCCTTAATCTGCTTCCTTTCCTGTCTCTCATTAAAAAAGAACAGGCTTCTAAGAGATAACAACCAAGCATGACAAAATTGAACAAGATGAAGCCAAAAGCAAAACCTTTCATACTGAAGTTGGACTTGGCAAACCAACAGGAGGAAAAGAATCCCAAGAAGAGGCACAAGAGTCAGAGACCCACTCATTCCCACGGTCAGGAGTCCCATAAAAATCCTAAGCTAACAGCTATAGTATGCATGCAGAGGACCTTATGTAGACTCATGTAGGCCCTGTGTTTGCTGCTTCAGTTTCTGTGAACTCATATGTGCCTTGCTTAGTTGATTCAGTGGGCCTTGTTCTCCTGGTGTCCTCCATCTCTCCTGCCTCTTGCAATCTTTCTGCTTCCTCTTCTGCAGGATTCCCTGAGCTCTGAGGGAAAAGATTTGATGGAGGCCTAGAATTTTGACTCTCTCTCCACATAATGTCTGGCTGTGGGTTTCTGCATCTGTTCCCATCTGCTTCCAGAGAAAGCTTCTCTGATGATGACTGGATAAGGCCCTGATCTGTAAGTATAGCAGAATATCATTAAGAGTCATTTTATTGATGCTATATGGTGATTTAATTTAAATAATAATGATTTAATTTAAACATTGACTTACTATTGAAAAAAGTTTATTTTCCTGATGAGCATGCAAACTGGCAAAAATAGTAGAAGTGGTCATCTTAAAAATATCTGATACACTGATTACACAGAAAGAAAAACTGTATTGAAAACAATAGTTGAAGTTCCTAATCTTAAATTTACTTTTGTCTTTTCTTCTTCAGTGCCTCATGGAGGATTCAGATGTGTTTTTAAATGATGTTCCTTACTCATCCTTTATGGTTACTTCTATCAAAAAGGAGAATAAATGGGCTCCCAGAACTTTGAGGCTTTTTATGTTTTGCCAAGGGATGTCTAAGTTCAAGTTCTGATAATTTGAAATAAAGTCAAACAGACAAAGCACTTAACCTGAAATGAAAATTAATGGCTGGAGATGAATTAGCTTCCTACATATTTAATTACTCATAGATATAAAAGTCAGTGGTCAAGACCAAAGGTAATCCTTTGACATACTATTGGCATGTAGGGTATTTCCCAGCTAAAATTCTTTCATTTTTAGGAATATTTATAAGAAAGTAAAATTGTAAAATAATAGGTTAAGTAACAATCCTAATATACCCTGAGAATATCTTGAATTCTACTACAAGCTAAATAAAGAAAAGAGAAAACAAAAACAAAGCAAAAGTGTCCTTTAGTTGATAGAATACCAGCAAAGGAGAATTGACAACAAACAGTTTGTTGAGAACATGGGGGATTTTAAAAGTAATAAGGAGCCTCAAGTGATCAAATGTGAGGCCAGATCGATCAGCTTGTCTATTTCTTAGGTCAATTTGTCTTGTTTATGTAGCCGAATCTGTAAATGTGTAGGGAAGATAGAATTTTCACATAAACTATCTTTCCCATTTTTAAATTCACTAAGTCTGACCAAGAGCTGCTTGCTGTATTTAATACATGTAGAAGGCAATTGTGTAAACCCAAAAAGCTCATATGAAAGATCCCTAGAGAAACACGCAACAAGTTAATGAGGCTATGATTCACTGGGGCACATATTGTATTTATCATTACTTTTAGGAAAAGTGTTTCTGGACTGTTCCAGAATCATGGGCATGCTGTGAATGAGGTGTTTGTCTCTGTCTCATGGACATTATTCCTCTCTTGATTTGACCTTGACCTTTTATTCCTGTCTCTGTTGATTGGCAAGGGGTTGAAAGCTAATAAGATATCTGGGTATTAATTGTGGTTTATCAGTGCTCTAACATTCCACAGTAAAATAAATTGCTACAGTTAGTGATGGATTGCATTGGCTAGCTTTCAAAACTGGCTTTTGATAACCTTTGTTTTACTGAAGCAATTTCATCAAATGAAACATTGAAATGTACAATTGGAGACCATTTTTTACTTACAGCTCACTCAACTACTATAAAAGGAAAGTTGTGCATCCACTGTAATTATTTTAGGTTAGAAATTAAAATACAATACAGGTATAAGATAAAATCTTGCAATATTAGAGTATTTCTGTAGAAATTAAAAGGAAAGCAAACCTTTAAATGCTAGTAACAGTAAACAGTGGAAGCCATTATTTAAAATAGGATAAAATAATATGCAGACAGTAAGAAAATAAACATGACAATAAAATTTAAAGTGATCTGGCATGTATTTATAAAACCCCTGTTAAACATTTTATCAGAGCCTTATGTAGAAGCTCACTGATGATTCCCAGATAGCCCACCCATCCGATTATTTTATTACCTGTTATCCTAGTTTACTTTCTATTACTTTAAAAGCACAATAACCAAAAGCAACTCAGGTTAAAAGAGTTTATTTGGCTTACACTTCCTGATCATTGTCCAGCACTGAGGGAATCGGGGCAGGAATTCAAGCGGGAGTAAAGGCAGGAACAGTAGAAGAAAGCTGCTTGCTCATTTGCTCACAAGGCTTGCTCAGCCTGTTTTGTTATACCACCCGGGAGCACCTGCCCAGAAAGGACACCACCAATAGTGGACTGGTCCCTCCTACATCAGTCATCAAGAAAAATCTTCTAGACTTGGCTATGGGCCATTTGATGTAGGCAATTCCTCAAACAGGGTTCCCTCCTCCCAGTCTAACCAGGACTTCTTCTTTTTTTTTTTTAACAACATAATATTTTTATTGATTATTTGGGAATTTCACATTGTACACCCCCAATCACACTCACTTTCCAGTCCTCCTGTGTCTGCTCCCCCTCGCTTGTGACCACTCCCTCCCAAAGTAAAAGAAGATTTTAAAAAAAAAAGAAAGAAAAACACAAATACATTTTGTATTGTCCATATACTCACTGGAGCATGGTCAAACTCCCAGTGGCCAGCTCCCTAAGAAACCTGAGTCCTTCTCCACCTGCACCCCTGCTAGAAGCTATCAGTTGTGGAGAGCTATATATACTTCAGCATCTCTATCACAATTTTTAGGAGTTCTCTTGGATGACTTCCTTTTATGCTGTTACTTTCCAGGGGTTGGGGGGCAGTGGAGAGTTAGAGGGGAGGCAGCGGTTGTCACAGAAGCCTTCTATATTCCTTTTTCTCAACTGTGCATCTGCAGTCATCAATACCACTGCAAGAGTAGCTTCCTTGCCCTTTATAGTCACTGGGAGCAGAGATCCTAGACTTGTATATGGTTTACAGAAGCAGTACAGACCACAAACATCCACATGGCTCCTAGCATCAGCACATGCCAAGGACCTCTGCCTTGGTCTCCAGTGGTAGTATAGCCCATGGACATTAACTTGCCCTTCTGCCAAAGCACAGACCACAGGCCAGCATGGCCTCTTAGAGAAGTACTGGGCCATGAAGGTATCTTGAGGAAGTCCAGTCCAGTAAATGGACCATTCTTCATCTCAATCATCTTGTTGCTGTTAAGAGCTAGGGTGATTGTGTGACTGGGCAGCTTTTTTCGGGCACTGAGTCTGTGCAAGCTCCAGGTTCTGTCACACTAGCCTGCTGACCATATTATGTATCGACCTGTTCCTCCATACACCACCATCTTCTCTCACACCCATCACAGATGTCATGTCTCCAGTTTCACCATGAAGGCACCACTCTGCTTCTCCATCTCTCCCATCCCTCCATCACATAGTCATCTATCATAGAGGCATTCAGAGCTGCAGTGTGACACGTAGTGTACGCTTCTGTCCAAATAGCTTTACAAGCGAATATTCATTGTAATGAGCCATTGGTCTTGTTCAAGGCCTATGGCTTTTGCCACACCATCAATACTAGACTCTCACTGGAGTTCCTCTTGAATATCCTGCTATTGTCCAAAGTTATAGAGATTCTGCGGCTCTGCAAACCAGGATTTCTATCACAATATAATTATAAAGCTACACTTCCAACAACCACATAGCAGAGCATCTTGCTACACATGTTAATGTAACAACATGTATTGCTGTATTTATCACAGCTACATTTTTGTCTAATATATATTTTTATTTCTTTTCCTAATAACATTACAGAACATCCACTTCTGTTTTTTAAAGTATTTTTTATTTGTTTGTTCATTTTTTTTTTTTTTTGGTTTTTCGAGACAGGGTTTCTTTGTGTAGCTTTGCGCCTTTCCTGGAACTCACTTGGTAGACCAGGCTGGCCTCGAATTCACAGAGATCCGCCTGGCTCTGCCTCCCAAGTGCTGGGATTAAAGACGTGCGCCACCACCGCCCGGCTTGTTTGTTCATTTTTTGATACAAGGTTTCTCTATGTAAAAATTCTGGCTGTCCTGGAACTTACCTATAGACCATGCTGGCCTTGAACTCACAGAGTTCTGCCTGCATCTGCCCCACTCCGAAACCCTCGAGTGCTGGGATTAAAGGCATGCACCATCACTGCCTACATTTTAGAACTATTAAAACTTAAGTCAAATGATTTGAGTATTCAGGTATTTCAAGGTTTTGCTATTGTGCTATCATTTGAACTATCTTTATCAACTATTTTCATATATGCTCCTCAATTAATATATAAAAAGCAATGATTTTGCTAAGCTAGGTTGTAAATAGCATACAGAAAATAAAAGAACCGCTTTAGACCAAACACTCCAAACAAGACCCACAGTAAACACAAGTACTTGAGTTTTGAACAATTTGATGTAGTCATATGCTGAGTAAAAAAAATCATATGTGAATATTAAAATACATGCAGAATTTTGTTTTTAATGGTACACTATAGTATTATCTCTTGGCCTTTATATTACATTATTTTGTCTCTTGTTTTTTCTTTATATTATTCAGAAAAGATTTATCATTATAATTAAATGATTGCAGGTTTGTTTAAATAGACATTCAAGTTGACTTCTATGAACAATACTGGCTGCCTTTTCATTCTGCATGATAGTGACCACTGGACACATAGCCTTGTCTTTCTTAATTAACTTTACTATAAGAAACCTTAGAAATAAAAAGTATCACACAGCAAAAATTGACAAGATACAAAGTCTATACATCTCAACTTTAAAAGTTCCCATAGTCTCTCTTTGTCTCAACACTGTTTAAAAGTCCAAAATAAAATACCTTTTGAGTTTCATGATGATCTCTTAACTGTGGCTACCTGTACAATCAGAAGCAAACTAAACACCTCCAATAGATTACAATTCCAACATAAAGAAACGACAGGGAAGGGAGAAATTACTGAACCAAACTGAACCAAAGCAAGACCAAAACTTAGCAAAAGAATCACCAAATCATGTTGCTCAGTGGCCAATATCCACAGGCTTACACAAACTAGCCCCTCCAGCTTACTGTCTACTGGACTGTTTCTGCTACATATATGCAGCTCTCATTAGCTGATGTCTCAGAGCTCTGGGAGACTCAAGGTACACTGGTCTTCACTACAACCCAGGTTTCATTTACACAGTCTCACACACTCACTGTAGGGGTCTCTTGCACACTCTAGCTCTTCACACAAGGATTCCTTTGTTATTTGTT